TCCCCACAGCGCACCCCCCCACGCGTGACAAATACGGAAGTCGCAGCTTCCCATCTCCAAAATGAGCGTACGCATGGGTCAAAGCTGGCGTGAGGCACCGCACATTTTCACGTCAAGTTTGGATTTTATAAATCACAACCTTGGCGTAAAAAGTGGCGTACGCAAGTTTCTGGGCTCAAATTGTGCGTATGCCAGTTTTATAAATCAGTACAACTAAAGACCTGATCACTTCTGTAGACCAGCTACAACCTTAGGACATCTAAAGACCTGATTGCCCCTGATGACCAGCCTGGACCTCAGGACCCCACCCCACCCCCCAAAGGAGAAAAAAGGCAACACCTTTGTGCAAAAAACCCTAATAAAATAAAATTTATAGTATTTTTATTCACAAACAGCACAACACAAATTGAAAAATTTGTGTGGTTAGTAATTCATTCTTTTTAAGTCCTCAATAAAATTTTAAAGTTAAATCTAAAACAAACAAGCAGCCAAAGAAAGGAAGTCTGAACTTGGGAGATATGCTCACACTTGTTTGTTTGTGTTAAAAACAAGCTGCAGAGTTGTGTGAATTAAACACCTAATGAGACAGGTGTGAGCTCTGTGTGTGTGTGTTTGTGTGCGATAACACCTCTGTCAGTGTCACTCACCCTCCAGCCAGTCTTTGAGTTTGATCTCACAACAAGCCAGTGGCCCTCCCACTCTTCCAGTGCTGTAATCCCAAACTGGAACAGACAGCCACACAAACACGATCAGGAAGCCCACTAGCATCAAGGCGCAACATTTACTGCCATGGAAACACGAGCTCACTTGCTCCCTCGCCATGGAAACCTCTTCCCAAAGGAACTGTCAGAGCAGAGTGTTTTCCTGTCTGAAATGACCGCAGTGAGTGTGACTCAGTGGGCTGCTCTGGTGTTTTACTGAAAGCAGTTTTGTTACACAAAAAAAACTAAAAGATTAGCTTTAAAGTTCAACACAGATAGGACTGATCACTTGTCATTCAAACAGTAGGGAAGAGGTTTGAAGGACGTTTCACAACTTGCTGGAGTAAACTCGCTGTCATATATAAATATATATAAATGACAATATGACAGCAAATCATGAACGAATCACAAACATGCAGCTTTGTATGTATTGCGTAGAAATGGCTTCCTCTTTGCACTGTAGCTTTATATATATATACAGTATTTAAAGCAACGATACAAGAAATTCACTTTGGTCAACAATGTTGTTTTTAAATATGCTATGTAGTGATGATGATGATGATGATACGGCTGAGGATAAGTCTTAAGATGAGCAACATGGCAATATATGACTACTGTTGTCTGTTGAAGAATATTCATGGGTTGACTGGAATATTTTAGTGCTTTAGAATTAGACTTAAATATTTCAATTAGTGCTTTAGGGCTAGTGGAACTAATTTTTAGATCAGCGCTGCAGATATATATATATATATATATAT